GGTACAATAAAGGTAGATAGGAGATGGAGTCAGTGGAGATGTCGAAAAGGGACAGATCAAAGGATTCAAGGCAGCTGACAAGAAGATTAAAGCAATGAAAAGGAGAAATGGAGATAGTGGGAAGGGAGAGGTCTCAGATGAGTCATTCTGGGAAGATCCCAACTTTCCCAAAGAGGCCTTTGAAGGTTTGAATTAACTTTAGTAAATGTTGCCAAGTCTTGACAATATCAAACTAAACTAGTGACATAATGGCATGTAGTCAGGGAGAGGAGAGGGAGTACTTGATAGGGTAAGAGTTATCTGTGGGATTAGCAGTTAACCCAAAGAAATAAACTTTGAAGAAGCTGGGAAAGACCCACTGGATTAATTCCCTGGCCCAATCCCTGTGTTGGGGAACCTAGGGAAAACAGAATAGGTCTCACAGGAGGGCCAAAGAATCTTTGCTGGAAAACGTTCTCTTTTTACTGGAAAAAAATTAAAGCAACTCTTCAACAGACAAGATGTCCAGAGCATTAGTTTGAGAATTGAATTTACCAAAGGATCCTCAAATTAAGGAAGCTCAGTGAACTACAAGAAAACACAGCAAGACGAGTCAGTGAAATCGGTGAGCCAAGTCAAAGCACCGTTAAACTGTCAAATAAAAATCAAATCTGGACTTAGGTAAAGGGAAGACTTGTTCAAAAGGATTATTGCAATCAGGAAAGGAATTTATTGAACTAGGGGGAAGAGGAATTGTAATTGGGAGAATGCTTCAATTGTAAGATCTGCAAGCTTTTGAAAGGTCAAAAAGAAAAGGGCTTTTCTTTTATAGGGAAGAGTCCACGAGGCTCATAAGAACTGGTCTCAGGGAGCAGGATGTGCAAGTGGCATGATGGACAATTGATCAGGAATGGGATCAGCTGGGAAGGAGCCTTTAGGGATTTATTCTGCATCTTGATGCTGATTTAGGCTGAGGGGACGGAAACTCAAGACTTGGGGAAGGAGGGAAGCCTGAATAAGTTTGATCAAGTAAAGTGAGCAAGCATTTTGTGCAGATTGGTCAGTGGGGACAAACAGCTCAGCTAATCACTTATGACACGAAGAGAATTTGGTTGGTCTGTGTCTGGCCTCCTCACAGGTAAATAGGGGAGTTCTCTGTAAGTCCCATCTAAGTCCTTTGAGCAAAGGTGGTGGTTTTTCGCAGTAAGCTGTTTCCTGGAACATACAACACTGTGGGTGTGGGGGTTTATTTCTCACTGTCTTCTGAGAGCACAGAGGTTGGGTCAACATTGTCTCCCTGAGTTTTAGTTTTAACCACAGTTTCATTATGATACTTAAAAAAAAGGTATAATCATATTAATTACCATTATAATAGCTATGTTTATCAGCACTTCCCTACATCTATAATATTCCCTACATCTATAATATTAGGATAGTTGATATTTGTAATCACGAGTTTACTCCTTGTGCTGGTTATTAAGGTATATCTCGCAACTCAAACCCATCCTTCTGTACTCTGTTCAGTGACGCTGTGGCTGTGGCATGGCAAACCATGTTTCCTGTAAGGTTTTGCTAATAGGTGTGCTTGAGGAGACTGGAAGCCTGGAGAAGGGAGAGGGATTTGCTTCTTGATATTAGCTTGCTGTCACCCAGCAGTGATTTTTTTTCCCTGGCTGCAGAAGTTGATACTGAACTCAGGGGGTTCATTTCGCCTGCATGAATCAAAGCCAAAAGAGACATAGACAGGAGTTTGCAGCAAAGAAAGCAGAGATTTATTTAAGGATATGGCACCAAGCTCGGAGACACAGATGAGTTAGCAGCTCCAAGATCTAGCTCCCCATGGCCTCTAGGGGATAGGTTATATAGGGGAATACTCATTAGTCACTAAGGGAGTTAGGGTTCTGGGCTCTACTGATTGGTCGGGGCTAGGGTAGGAGGCAGTTGATGATTGTATCATGTCCTAATGTTAGTCATGGCATCATTCTGACTAGTTTCGAGAGGATGCTAGTAGGGTCATTTCGCCTTTATGGATGTCGGGCTGCAAGATATTATTTTTAGTTTGACCAAAACTCTGTTTCCATGGTCAACAGACCTGAGGTTTTGTTCCTAAGATTGTTTGATGCTGATCTAAGGGTTTAATAATTAAGAGAGTAGTCGTGCAGTGTGCAGAAGGAAAAGGAAAGAAAAGAAGCAAGTGAGCCCAAGGCCAGTTTGAATCAAGGAGAAAGAAAAAAGAAAAAGTCATTTTAAAGAAGCGAAGATATGCATGGTTACAAAGTTGGTTCCAATTTCTAGTTTTTAATCTACCTTCTCAGATCAAGCAACCTTCAACATTCACCTTCAGAAATACTACCACCAGCTGGGTACCATCCCTTCCTCGGAGGTCTGAGTCCTAGCTCCCTAAGGGCCCTCTTCCAGCTCTTAGTTTCTGATAATCTGTATACCTTTCCAGATCTCTCAGTGGCAGCTACTTCCTGCAGTTCCTATATCTCCGTCATTGCAATGTTTCCCTTGTGTTTTCAACCCTCCATTGCCTGTTTAATCAGTTCCTTAAATTCTCTGTAACAAATAACTGCTATGATTTCTGTTTCCTGCAATTAGTTATTAGTTATTAAGTTTTGGTCTGGTGACTTGGCTTAACAAAAGGGACTCCATTTTGGCTTGTGTTTCCTTTTTTAACAGCAACATAAATTCAAAGATCCAGCTATTATGCTAATAACAAATTTAATTCACCTTTTCATTTTTTTATTTTTAATTAAAAAAATTTTAATATTATTTAAATCAGTATATCCAAAATATTACCATTTCAACTGTAATCAATGTTTAAAAATACATTTAAATGAGACATTTAAAACTTTTTTAATACTAACTCTTGAAAATCTGTGTATTTTACACTTACTACACAGACTTAAACGTAGTCTAGACACATATCATAGGCTCAATAGTCACATGTGGTAGTGCCTATTGCATTAGACAATACAACTGTTGAGTATATGCCAAAGAGTAGAATTGCTGGGTCATAGGATATGCATTTTTTCTTTTCCTGTTTTAAGATATAAATGTTTAATTATATGAGTAGATAACTGAAAAGCAAGCAAATTTGATCATCCCTTTAGAAATTAAAGAGAATATTCTTATGGGCATACTAAGTATTGATGATTAAAAATAAATTTAAAATGTCCATGACGTAAGCCCATTAAGAAAAAAACTGGTCAAGTGAGAATAGAAGAAACATGTGTAGTCTAGTAGAAAGAAGTGACAGGCTTATTTTCAAATACCGAATTAATAAAATTTATGAATTTAATTTATGAGAGTTTTCATAGCATATTTGCTTTCACAATGGCTTTATTTAAGGAATTTAAAAATATTTTGTCTTTTAGTAAAAAAGGTCATCTGGATAAACAAGTTGGAAAAAACAAATTTCAATTATGTCTTTTCAAATTCTGACCAAAATGCAACTCTGGGGTATATTTGCAGAAGATATTTTGGGTTAGCACTTCTGTTTCCGAGATAAAAATATAAACCACAGTTTAAAAGGAGTTCATTCATGTGTTTCCCCTTGTCGTACGTGTTGCACACAAGATTACTTTCCTAAATAAAATTAAAGCAACACTTTCCAAGATTGTCATTGGAGGAGGAATCTCCTTGGGAAAGAGGCAAGAATTACTTTCCCCCAGAATATTTCATTAGCTTCACTTATTATTATTATTATCGTTATTATTATTAGCTCCTCTTATGGGGCAGTGTCATCTTGTGCTGTATGGACATATCTAAGCAGGACGCCCCCACCCCCACCCAATCTAACTTCATCAAGTCCAAAGCCCAAGAAAGTGAGCCTCAGAGACTCGGTGGTTCTTCCTGGCCAGCCCAGCCCTGGCCAGCCCAGCCCTCTGCATTCACATGTCTCCCCAAGCAATGACCTTCTTTTATTAGAATGATATCCAACATACAAGCTTCCAGTTACAGGGAAATCCAACTACTCGCAAGGTCTCAGCTTTACCCTACAGCCCCAGCAGGTTACGTTGGGCGAGAGCTATGTATGCAGTTAGTTCCTTCATTTACACGTGTTTTGAATTAACGAATGTTATGAAGATGAATAAGAATCTGTTTTGCTCTTCAGGAGATAAAAAATCCAAAGGAAGAAGACACATACACAACATTCCTCTTGCTATATGTGTTTTAACGGTGGGAGACAGGTGTTTACTACTTGGCACCCGATAAAGATGAACTGGAACTTTAAGCAAACAGAATCAGCTGGGTAGGTCTATGGGAGAAGCTTGGGCTCCTGCAAGTTCTCAAGCTCTGCATAATCACAAGAACCCTACAGAAGAACTCTTTACGGTAAAGCTCTAAGTTTCTAACTTCCCCTTGCATTAATTTCCTTTCCCATTATATAAATACTCCTCCATCTTGGCTGGAGTGTGCAGGTAGCTTGCCATGTCTGAATGCTCTGGGTTCTTTTTCTTGAATAAATCCTTTTGGTGACGAAACGCTTAGTCGATATTATATTTTAGTCACCACACTGCGTTGTGGATTGTTAGACATTTAATATTAGATTTTATGTGAAAATACACAGGAATATAATGAGCTTTTAAATTCTAAATTTAGTAAGCAAGTCTCATCAGGAAAAAAATACATGGTCATCTCTAAACTTTGTATGATATAAAGAATCTTGGCATTACTTTTTTCTTTTTTCGTTATAAAACATTTTCATTTTTAAAATCAGAAAAGGCAGCACTTCTCCCGTTTCCTGCCTCTGAGGAAGGGGACACAAAATTTTGAAAAAGACCCCACTCACGCGCCCAGCCGCATGTCCTTCGGAGAACTAATAACCAAGGCGAACCAGAGGCAGCAGAGAGAAGTACACGGCTGCCTCTCGGCTTCCAGACAGTGGTAGTGCCCACAGGGCGCGCTCGCCTTGGCCTGGAGCCGCGCGTCCCCTGCCTTGCGAGCGCGGGGGCCGGCGTAGCGGCGAAGCGATGGGTGAGGCCTAGGGGGCGGCCTCAGGGGCGTGGCGCGGGGGCGGTCGGCCGGGGGCCCTGAACCGGGAGGTGACCAACTCATGGCAGCGCGGGCGAGTGCTGGGTTGGTGAGAGTCTGCTCCGCGTGATTTCTCTGGGAAGCTGCGAGGTTATCGCACCCTCCTGCGCCCCCGGGGCCAGACGCTCGCTTCAGGTAACCAACTCCCACTAGCTTCCCTGCACGGCCGCCCGGCGGCGGCGGCGGGGGAGGGATGGGAAGGATGGGAGGAGGAAACCGGCTCTTCGCCAGGGCGCAGCTGCTGCGAGCGGTGTGGGCTCGGTCTGGGCAGAGAATGCCCAGCCCCGGCAGGAAGAGAACGCGCGGTGGGAATCCACCGTAAGCGTGTGCGCCAGGGGCCGGGGATGGCGCGGGGCACCCTCCCTCAACCCTGCTCTTCCGTCGGATCAGTGGTGCCTGGGGCCAGGACTCTGGTGCCCAGTGTCACCTGGAAACCACTTTTTCTGGCCTCTTTCTCGCTGGTCCGCAGAGGGAGTAGGAGCTTAGAAGTCGGAAGAGTTGGCTGCAGACGTGGATAGGCTAGCAGCGGAAGGCTACTCACTATCGTATCCTGGGTGCCAGCGGCTTTAACTTCATTTAATCCTAACCATAGCCCTGCGAAGAGACACTTCTCCCATTTTACTGATAAGGAAGCCGACACCAGGACGATAAATGACTCTGGGCGACTGGAACCAATGGGAAAGAGACGCTAGTTAGAGGGCTCCGAAGCCCTTAGGCTTCTCTCTGTCTTCCTGCTCCCTCCTCCACGCGCAAGGCTAGGAAACTCGCGCTGCTGGGTCTGTTATGAAAACGGGTGATCGTTTATTTTGTTTTGTTAGCACCCAAAGCACCAAAATTCTGATTCAGAGTCTTACAATTTTTGGTTATTAGCTCACAGCGTTTTCTCTCAGATGAAGAGCAAAACACAGGCACCCTTGCCTGCCACACACTTCTCATCTTTCTCGGTGGACAAAGTTGCCTGCAAATCCAGGCTCGACATTATGGGCTGCTCAGGGGGAGGTAAGTTTCGTAGTCACCTGGCATCCGGTGCACTCTTTGTTATTTCTAGAGGTAAGAGAGTCTTCATTTTTACAAGTAGTAGGACAAGGGGCGAACTGGGATTACTGTATTGATAGAAAGCGATGTAGTCTGTAGTCAGGCCACAGCTTTTTGTGGCCTGAATTTGGTGAGTGGTAGGTAAGGGACTTGGTCAAAGACTTGTCCCCTCCTCTGGGCATTCTGCCCCTCTTTCAGAGCTGTTCTGAATGACAAGTTTGTTTTATAGAGGGGAGAAGGAGGGGTAGATGGTTTTTACAGATCAGTGTAATTTACCTACTAGGAGCCCAGGCAGTTCCAGAGGATTTAGTAACATTTCAGTTCTGGCAAGAAGGAATAGCTCTGTGGATATCTTCTATTGCTTAATGGATTTTGTGCAGGCTTTCAGGATGGTAGCTTTGGGAAACTTTGAGGTCTAAGAAATGGCTAATGCCTCTATTTTAAAAAGCAATGTAAAACAAAGCAAAACAATGTAACACACTGTGAGTTGACTTTTACAGAGTTTTATTGGTAGATGAAACAAGTTAATATTTTTAATATTTTATGGTGAGGATTTAAAGCTTACCTGTCAGCTCCTCTGTCCTTCCTTCATCCTGTTCCTGAGAAAGCCCTCCTTAGCCTTGGCCTGGAATGTATACCGAGTTCTATCCTTCACTGATTATAGTTCATTCTTGATTAGTTATAGGACTACTTTGAGTCACAAGTCACTTCTTTTCCACTTGTAATTTAATTGTTAAACATTAAGAAAAATATTTTTGCTGAGAACTATCAGCTCTACAAAATCAACTATCTACAAGGGCTAAGCATAATGCATTGGAGGGCTTAGTGGGCCTTGGTTGGTCTCAGGTGTCCTGCAGAGAACGTGCTAAAATCTGGGTCAGAATCAGCCATTCCCTCCCCACAACCATGCAGGAATTCTGGCCCAGTTTGCCCAGAGCTCCTTTTCTTCCCCCACAAAAATGGCCGAACATTTTTAATGTTTTTAAGACTGTGAAACCTGATTTAATAAAAATATTATCTCTTTTTTTTCTTTTTTTAAACATAGGAATCATATTGGTTCATGCATCATTTCTTTTCAAATCTGTCTTAGAAACTGCTATCTATACCTGGTGATTACATTCTCGGGTGAATGAAAAATTCTGACCTATGATGTAGATACAGTACCTTTTTCATGAAATGAGGCGGTAGGAAACAAATTAATACTATTGAAAATGATTTCTTCTGAGTCTCAATTTCTGTTTTCTATGAAGTATACGTTATTTCCGCTGCATTGAGTAAAGTAGTCCTTTATGGGCCAACCAAGGAATTGTGTTACTATTTTTAATATTCATTCTGATGAAAACTATATTCATGGTTCTAGCTCAGGATGTCAGATGCCTAGCTCCTGCCTTAAAAAGGGAATTCCCAAATGATTGTCCGTATAAATCCAGTATTGGCTTTGAGAAGGCAGGCATGGCTTAGGGTTTTCATTTTTCGTTGCTCCACATTTGTGGCAAATGCCATGTATGTTTAGACGATGGCACTTTTGACACATTTGACCAGATAAACTTTTGTTTTAGGGATTGTCCTGTGCAAAGTAATATGTGTAGCAGCATTCCTGGCCTCTACCTACTAGATGCCAATAGTCTCCTCCTTCTAGTCATAACAACTAAAAATGTCTCCAAACATTGCCAAATGTCCCCTGAGAGACACAGTCACCCAGTTGAGAAAGAAATGAGCCAATATTTAAAATGCTTTAGACATTTATGAATTAAACTATAAAGTAAAAACAATTAACTTTAAATTTCTAATGACTAGAGAAGCTATTTGTAAACTTTAACCAAACATCTGACATTTAAAAAAATTATAATAAAGATGACTAAATCAGAACCAGTGTTCTTCATGAACAGCTACATGTATCCTGCCAGGTTTTATCTCCAAAAAAATTTTGATGTAGTTATTAAATTTCTAAAGTTTAAAATGTTGGAAGCTAGAAAATAATTCCACAGTAGTTTTCATTTTCCTCCTTTCAGTATACTCAATGTCTTCCCATTTTTTTAAAGTGATGGAGTATCAATGGACTGTTTGTTGATTTGGGAAAATTGATGCAATCCCTAATATTAGAACCCCAAACAAAATATTTAAAGCAAAAATTTTAATAATGAGACTCAGTGTAAATCATGTTCATACTAGAATTTATTTCTAGGGAAAATTAAAAAGCTTTTTATCTAACAGCAAGAACAAAGACAATCATGTATTTCTGTGGTCTGAAAAATCCCAATTTTATGAAAGAGAGCCCTATATAATGTATGATAACACATCAAGAGAAACTACGTCCTGAAATTATAACTCTCTTTTTTAGACCTTCAGCTCGGGAGGCTGAAAACAAAGCCCTAGTTATAAAAGATGCATCCTTAGCTAGAGATTGGCTATCCATTGCGTCTCTTCCAGAAATTCAACCAATTCGTGAGATTCAGGATGGGTTACATAATTTGTGGGGCCCTTTGTTTAAAACTTACTAAGAATTTCAAGATGGTGACAGACAGGTGAGCATTAAGCAGAGTTCAGGGTCCTGTGTGACTGCACAGGTTATACACCCATGAAACTGGCCCTGGTAAAACTCTTTCCATAGCTCACAAAAGGATTGTGATCACAAATGCAAGTTCAAAGAAGAAAATGTTACCACTGCCACAAAACACCTGAAGTTTCTGATTCATTAATTATACTAATATTTCCAGTCAGCAGTCCTACATGTATTTGATAATCAATGCACTAAGTTTACGAGAAATTCCTCCAATGATTGATTTCTCTTTTGTTAAAGAGGTAACCACATTGTGAGGGTCATGGATATTTAAGTGACCTATTTATTTACACATTCATCAAATAGCTATTTACTGAGTACCAGCTAGATGCCACACATGGTCAGCTCTGGGGCTACAGCTGGGAACAGGATGGAAGGTCTCTCGTCTTTATGAGCCTTCTAGTCTACTTGCTAGAGGAGGCGAGGACAGACAAATGCATAGTCATACATGCTATCACATTATAAGTAGTACTTTAGGAAAGCATAAAATGTCCAGAAAGCATTTAACCTGGAGACCTAACCTAGTTTAGGGTAAGGGGTTACTCAGGGTAGATCTCCCTAAAAAGAAATTAAAAATGAGTAGGAAATAGGTGAATTAGGGGTTGAAATTACAGGCTGAAAGGGTTGAGACCAAGGCAGGAATATGGCTTGGGATGAAGCCTTTTGGGTCATTTTCAGGATTTTGGACTTTAATGGAAAGGTAGTGGGAACCCATTAAAGGGTTTAAAATGGGTGATGAAATGATTAGGTTTGGATTTTTTTAATGATCATCGTTGCTGTGTGGTGAATGGTTTGGAGAGGTGGGTCCTAATGGCATACATGGTGCCTTTGTGCAAACTAGAAAAAGGCTTCCCTTCTGGGTGGACCAGTTAGAAAAGATGTACTGCTCTGTCCCAACTAGGCCAAGCCAGTCACTGCACAGACATAGCCTGTGCAATCATATGCGGCCACCATGGGGAGGGGGATCATGGGATGTGGGCAAATAGAACAAAGGGATGAAATATCTGACTTCCAATATTTATCGAGCATTTTCTAGTGCCAGACTTTTGCAGTCACCCAGGGACGGTAGAGTGATGCTGAATCTGTTAGTGCTAGAGAGAGATTGATTGAGTTTGTAGTTAAAATCTGTAATAAGGTAGTGGTTATTTGGCTATAGTTGATGGAGATATCAAGGATGATTCAAAAGTTTCTGGCCATAATAACTGAGTGGGATAGAATGATGAAACCATTTATAGTGTTAGAGAACACTGGGGGAGGAGCAAGTTGGCATGAGGTAGGAGAGGGAGATAATTCCATTTGGACATGTTTGCTTGTGAGACGTCCAAGCGGAATCAAGGAGTAGGCAACTGGAACTCATGAAAGAGATCTGGGGTGGACATACATGTTTGGGAGCTGTTGCATAAAAATAATCATTGCATATAAAAAGATTATCCAAATAGGGGTGTCAGATAAGAAAAGAAAGGGGCTGGCCCCAGAGAGTAAGAGCATTGTATTTGGAAGAGGAGACACTGGTTAAAACTACTGAGAAGCCAAATATACGTGTAGGATAGGGAGGAAATGTGGGGTCTGGTTTTCTTTATTATTTTTCTTTCTTTTTTCCCCTCCACATGAGATTGAAGAGATTTGAACTTGTTCTAGTACTGCTGGGAAGTTTCTGGTAGAGAGGGTGAGGCTAAAGTTTTGGGAAGGCCAGGTTTCAGAAAAGGTGAAAGAGGATTCTAGAACACAAGTAGGGCATTAGTGTTTGATGGAAGGAGGGAGGGAAAGAATGGGTAAAGATGTCTTAAATTCGGGGGCCGGAATTTTGAGGACTTCTCTTTTCTCTGAAAGAGGAGGCAAAATCATCTGCCGAGTTTGATATTTGCATGTGACATCAGATATTTCATCAACCAATATTTATCGAGCATTGTTTAGTGTCAACATTGTGCTGGGCACCTTGGAAAGTATTATTAATGACGTCGATTTCCACTAGGCTTGGCCCTCGTGATATCCCAAGAAATAAATATTTGGTCTTTGTCCCTGGTTCCTGACACAGAGCTTCTAAAACCTTTGGAATTTCCTGAGTGACAAGGGTGATAGGAACATCTCTTGGTATTATATAGGAGCCCCTTTCTATATCTAGTTTGTACTAATGAGGCGACTTAGGTATGAGGGCCCTTAGGTAGCCTCAGGATGGGGTTGGTCACCAGATTAGAGGGTTGGAACTTTCAGCCCTACCCACCAACCTCTGGGAAGCGGGTAGGTATATAGAGATTGGGTTATAAAAACTCTTGAGCAATGGTATTTTGAGAGCTTCTGGGCTTCTGAACACTTTAAGGGGGCTGAGAGAGTGGTGTGCCAGGAGAGGGCATGGAATCTCCTGGCACACCACTCCATACTTTGCCTTATGTAGCTCTTCCATTTG